CGGGTACATTGCATTCACCCAGATCATCTGGGGTTTATTAGCAACCTTAATTTCACTTTACCATGTAACGTAACGCACATTCACAGGTCCCGTCGATTAGGATGTGGATATCCTTGTGGGGCCATGTTCTGTTCTCTGCAGGGGTATATTCCTGGTTACTATTATTGTGAAAGACAAGTAGGAAAAGGAGGCTGAGAGATGGTACCAAATACGTGGTATGTGAAATATGACTTAGTTCCCCTTATTCAGATAGCATCCTCAACTATGCCTGGTGTCTGAGTTCAGGGTTCAAAGCAAGATCTTCAGAGAGTTAATTTCCAGCCTTCTTCAAGGGTAAGGGCAGAGTAGTGTCTTAACTTACTCAGGATTGGAGAACATTGAATACTGTTCCTTTTTCATTTAATTCAAAATATTTTTAAATTTCTCTTAAGACTTTTCATTTGACTCATTTGTTATTTAGAAGTGTGTGGCTTAATATCCAAATATTTCAGGATTTTCCAGCTACCTTACTGTAAATATTATCTTTTTTTTAGAGATGGAGTCTTGCGGCTGGGCGTGGTGGCTCACGCCTGTAATCCAAGCACTTTGGAGGCCAAGGCGGGCGGATCACCTGAGGTTGGGAGTACAAGACCAGCCTGACCAACATGGTGAAACCCCGTCTTAAAAAAAAAAAAAAATGTATAAAGATGGAGTCTTGCTATATTGCCCAGGTTGGGCTTGAATGCCTGGGCTTGAGCAATACTCCCACCTCAGCCTCCAGAATAGCTGGTACTACAGGTGCAAATCACCATAACTAGCTTTATCTTTCTGTTATTGATTTCTAGTTTAATTCCAGTGTGGTCCCAGAACATACTCTTTATAATTTCTATCCTCTTAAGTTTGTTGAGGTCTGTTTTTTAGCCCAGAATGTGTTCTGTATTTATGAATGTTTCAAGTGAGCTTGAGAAAAAGTGTTTTCCGTTGCTGTTGGATGATGTTATTTCATACATGTTAATTATGAAATGATTCAGTTGATTGGTGATGCTGTTCACTTCAGGTATATCTTTACTGATTTTCTGCCTGCTGGATTTGTCAGTTACTGATAAGGAGGTGTTGAAGTCTCCAATTGTAATGGTGGTGGATTTGTCTATTTCTCTTTGCAGTGCTATCAGATTTTGCTTCAAGGATTTTAATTCTGTTGTTTGGTGCATACACATTGAGGGTTATTATATGTTTTTTTTCTTTTTTTTTTTTTTTTGAGACAGAGTCTCACTGTGTCACCCAGGGTAGAGTGCAGTGGCGCTATCTCAGCTCACTGCCACCTCCACCTCCTAGGTTCAAGCGATTGTCCTGCCTCAGCCTCCCAAGCAGCTGGGACTACAGGTGCATACCACCATGTTCAGCTAATTTTTTTTGTATTTTTTGGTAGAGACAGGGTTTCATTGTGTTAGCCAGGGTGGTCTCCATCTCCTGACTTCGTGATCCACCCACATCGGCCTCCCAAAGTGCTGGGATTACGGGTGTGAGCCACTGCGCCTGGCTATGTCTGTATTTTTAAAGTGAGTTTCTTGCACACAACATATATTGGGTCTTGTTTCTTGATCTACTCTATCTTTTTTCTTTTCATTGGTATAGTTAGACCATTCATATTTAAAATGATTATTGAAATAATTGGGTTAATATCTACCAAATTTGTAAGTGTTTTATACTTGTTGCACTTTGACTTCTTCTTCATCTTCCCCTCTTTTACTACCTGCTTGGTTTTAATGGAATATGTTATATGATTCCATTTTCTCTCCTCTCTTAGCATAGTATTACACTTTTATATTTTTTTCAGTGCTTGTCCTAAAATTTACACTATCTGTTTACAACTAATGTAAGTCCACTGTTAATTAATACTAATGCTGCTTCACAGGTAGTGCAGATGCATTATAACAAAGTATTCCTAGTTCCTTTCTTCCTTCCCTTAAAACATTGCTGCCACTCATTTCACTTATCCATACACTGTAATCAAATTATTGCTATTATTATTTTGAACAATTACTAGATTGATAAGAGTATGAAAACTAAAATATTTTATCTTTCATTTATTCCTTCTCTGATGCCTTTTCCATTCTTTACGTAAACCTAAGTTTCTGACCTAAATTGTCTCTGAAGAACTTTTAAAAAATATTTAGTATAAGATAGATCTACAAACATCAAATTCTGTTATTGCTTAACTGAGAAAGTATTTTTTTTTTTTTTTTTTGAGATGGACTCTCACCTGTCACCCTGGCTGGAGTGCAGTGGCTCAATTTCAGCTCACTGCAACCTCCGTCTCCTGGGTTCAACTGAGTCTCCTGCCTCAGCCTCCTGAGTAGCTGGGATTACAGGCATGCACCACCAAGCCTGGC